GGACCGGGATTGAATGCACCGAACTGGGCCAGACCCCAACACCCCCTGGTGTCCTGGAGGACCAGGGCAGATGTGGGATGGACTAGGCAAGGTCTCAAACCCCTACTGAGCCATGTGTTAGCCATACGTGGGTATGGACAAACCATGGCTGGGCTGGAACATCCAACAGCAAGAACCAGATTGGGTTGAAGGCCAGTCAGGAAAAGCCACAGTTCCTGCTATGACAGGAGGTGGACTGAGTAGGGTTGGCTCATGGACCCACTGGTAAGCGTGAAACCTGGCATTGGGAGAGGTTCTGATGGAGGAGCCTGGGCAACTCCTCTGGCAGGACACAGACCCGGCAGGTAAACGCAAGAAACATGATAGGAAACAGCCCAGAAAAGGCCATGGAAAGCTACCCACTGGCATACAATTAGCAGACGTGGGGGGCAAGACCAGGCTGAAGCTGTCCACGTCATCCACTGGCAAATCCAGGCACCAGTGTGGGTCGACCCAGGTTCGGTCGCAACAAAGACTAGTGCACATTATGGAATGCCGAGGTGAGGTTGCCTGTACCAGAAGGGACCGCAGTGCCCAATCAGCCTGAGAACAAGAAAGGAAGTGGGCAGAGCCGGCAGGGGAATAAGGGAGGGTTCCTTTGCTGGACAGCTACTTCCGCAGGAGAGCATAGGCTGGGATGGGGGCAGACCAGACTAGGCAGAGCTACCACACCTGTGCGCCCCATGTGGACTAGATCAGGGAAAAGCCGGGCTGGGCGGATTATTCCTACTGGTGCAAACAAAATTAAAGTGGGCGAGGGTTGTTTGGGCTTAGACGCAGCATCATCTTGAATCTGGGAGTGGGAGAGGCCTGGGAGGGAAACAGTGGGCTCATCCCTCTTGGGCTGCCACTTCCACAGGAGGACATAAAACTAAGATGGCGGCTGGGGTTGAATGGGGTATGGGACAAACTGGATTACTGCTACGCTTACTGGAAAACCAGGGTTGGGGGTGAGCCTGGTGGGGGTTATTGTGGGTCGCTCCAACTAGGCTGCAGCTCCCACTGGTTTATGTGAGGGCCAAGTATGTGCTGGGCAGTACCAGGCTGGACTGCAACTCCCATTGGTTCCAGTGGAAGTCGGGAGTGAAAACAGAACCAACCCAGCAATTGCAACCACCAGCTGATTGGAGCGATGGATGGTGCCAGGCCTTGTACTTGTTAGCACATACAAGAAGTTTCTTTAGGAGATCTTCCTAATCTAAATGCTGGACTCAGAACCCTAACGAAGAAAAGAGAGAAGACAGAACAGGGCAACCAACCATCTCAGCTGTGATGGACTATGTCAATCAGTGGATTTTTCAAAGACCTCATAGTGCTTGGAGTGGTAAGACTGACAGCGATTCATAACTATGGCAATATCAAAACCACTTGAGCAAGAACCTCAGAGCATGCCCTACATCCGGGACCTGGGGAGGGTGGGAAATTGGGTGGGCCTTCTCCCTTAATACCCCCCTTTAAACATGAAGGTAACAATATGGAAAACATAAGTAGTATTATTCACTTTCCTGTAGTCCTTGAACCTTCTTACCCTAATTAACTATGTAAAAAATGTCAAAATAAATTTTATTAAAAGAAAGAAAGAAAAAAAACTTCCACATCCACTAGCAGCACTCCTCCATCTCCCTGCCCACAGCACCTGGCAACCATCCCCCTGCTGTCCTCAACCTGCTCTGGGCATTTCCTATGAAGACAATGCAATATGCATCCTTTTGTGTCCAGCCTATTTTCACTTCACATGATGGCTGTTGGGGCTCAACAGAGTATCAGTACTTCCTTCCTATATGACTGAGAATTTTTTTTTTTATTTACCTTATTTTTTATTGGAAAGTCTGATATACAGAGAGAAGGAGAGACAGAAAGGAAGATCTTCTGTCCAATAGTTCACTCCCCAAGTGACTGCAATGGCCAAAGCTAAGCCGATCTGAAGCCAGAGCCTCTTCCAGGTCTCCCACATGGGTACAGGGTCCCAAGGCTTTGAGCTGTCCTCAACTGCTTTCCCAGGCAACCAGCAGGGAGGTGGATGGGAAGCAGGGCTGCCAGGATTAAAACTGGCACCCATATGGGATCCTGGTACATGCAAGGTGAGGTCTTTAGTCAGTAGGCTAAAGCACCAGGCCCACAGTATTTATTTCTTATAATAGAAGCAGAGAGAGAACCCATTCTCTAGTTCACTCCAAATAAATTGTAATGGCTGCACTAAGACAGGCAGAAGCCAGGCTCATAAAACTCAGTCAGGTCTAGTGAGTAGATGGCAGGAACCCAAGTACTTGGGTGGCCTGCTGCTACCTCCCACAGTGCACATTAGCAGGAGGCTGGAATTGGAGGAAAACTCTTAAACCAGGCACTCTGACAAGGGAAGTGCCCTTTCTAAGGGATGTCTTAACTACCCTAAACTCCTGCCCCTGACTGAGCAAGAATCCATTTTAAGTACATGCCACATTTTGCTTTTCCATTCATCTGTTGATGGGCACTTGGGTTTATTTCTAATTTGTCAATAGTGCCATTCATTGCATGGAGTATTTGCCCTAAATTTGTGATTTCCATGTCTGGTTTCATGGTATACTGATTTTAAAAAAAAAAAAGCCCCAAAGACCCCCTCCCCAAAGAACTTCCATGTGATGACCATGAGAAATTAAACCTGAGTTTTAAAATTTTTATCTTTAAATGAAACTAAAATTTAAAACAAGTTACATGTTAATATAAATGACATTTTTATAAAAATAACTTGATTTCTAAAAATAGGGAGAAGAGTGGCATCGTCTGACACTTTTGCGAAGCTCTGATGCCTGGCTTAACTGAAGGCAGATGGATTGTCTATCCACTTGTACAATCTGTTACAATGTGTTGTTGTAGTTAACATATATGAAGACAATCCAACCTCAGACAGAAGTGGAGAAACTTGCAGCCTTCCTGCGTGCCCACTCTGAGAACCTCCGCTCTGTGGATTAGAGTGTGCACACTTGGCGCCCCACCTGGCCTGGAATCCATACACTACTTGGTGTCAGATGTAAGAACTTCACCACTGTGTGGCTCCCCTTACGGCTCCCACTCCTCACGTTCATTGTTTGCTTGCAGTTGACAGACAGAGCTCCCATCCACTGGCCTACCTTTCAACACTGTGTGTTGTCACTCCACAAGGACAGGAACTACTAGGCCAGGGCCAGACCCAGGAACTCAATCCAGGTCTCCTGGGTGAGTAAGGAAACCAGTTACTGGAGCTACTGTCACTGACTCCCAGATGAGCAGGAAGCCAGGCGCAGGGACCTGAGACAGGAATCCATCCAAGCACTGTGATGTGGAACTCGGGTGTCCTAACTGAATCAGCCTGTCACCAAACAGCTGCTCTCAGCCTTCCATCCTCCATGTCACAGTCACACACAGTCATACAGAGCAGATCTGCAACAGATCATGAATATGAATATTACTTAGAAATTACACGTAGATTTCCATTTTTTATATCAAAATCAGCTTATTTTTAATTCCACTCTTCTATAATCTTTTTGGTGTGGCTGTGAATATTGCATAACATGAAGGAGAGAAGCAATAAAAAGGACTGAAAGTTGTAAAATTCCATTGCTCTGAACGATTGTTATTTTAAGTAACTTATGAAACCTTTTCTATGTAGCTGCACATGTGCCACTGCAGTGTTCTTCATTGCTTAAACTCACTCCCTGCTAGCTGGTCCCTCCGTTCAGCAGTACGATGCATTCTGATGTTGACAACCTTTTGTTGGCATGCTTTGTCTTGCCTTCATTTTCAAGAGTGTTTTTGCTGGAAACAGAACATGCTGACAGCCTTTTGTCTTTCCTGTGTCTCCTAGCCACTATTGTGTCTGATGCCAAAGTCACCTTAAACACAAATGCATCATTTACAAGACTACTGACTACTTCTGTGATGTCATTTTGAAGTGTAATAGGCTAAGTTACTTGCCTCTTTTTCTACACTTAAAAAAAAAAAAGCCACCCCATTCCCCCCACCAGGTCCCTCACCTTGCACACCCAGAGATCCCATACTGATGTTGGTTCACTGCTCCACTTCCCTTCCAGCTCCCTGCTCGTGGCCTGGAAAAGCAGTCGAGGATGGCTCAAAGCCTTGGGACCCTGAATTCACATGAGAAACCTGGAAGAAACTCCTGGCTCCTAGCTTCAGATGCTCAACTCTGGCCATTACAGACTTTCTTTCTCTCCTCTGTAAATCTACCTTTCCAGTGAAAATAAATAAAAAACAAAACAAAACAAAAATCTTCCATAGGTGAGAAAGGGTATATGAGATTTACATTTTAAGGTGTGAGACAAAATTCTAAGCCTGTTTGATGAGAGGAGGCACCTTCCCCTGCCCTTCCTGGTAACATTTAGAACTCAAATAAAAACAAGATGCAGAATTTTAACCATTTCTTGCAAATGTTGCAACTTGCCCCGCAACCCCATTCATACCCAGATGGCAGATCCCCAGGCCTGGTAAGACCCAATTCTCCATCTGTTCTGGGCCTGCTGAGCCCAGCTGGAAGAAATCCCACAGTGTTAACCCAGCTCAGTTAAGTCGATGCCCTTGCAGCCAACACCATCAGCCAGCCCTGCTACACTTCCTTGGTAAATCCCCCCGCCCCGCCCCCAGCCCTCTTCCACAAATACATTTGCATCCCTTCCCCTTACTGTGTATCCCAGACAGAAACAGACAGAGATGGAAAGAGGTCTTCTCGCTTTTCCAGCCCGAGAGCCAGTGCTTGTTCCCACAATCTCCTCTAAATGGTTGCAAAGTCCTGACACGGCTCAAAGTCCTGACACAGCTGTGGCTATCCCTCGGCTTTGTACTGAATTCCTAACTTCAGTCCTTCAAACTCTGCCCTGAGGCAATAATCTCATTCTTCTGTGTTCGCATTGTCTTCACTCTATCGGATCACTCCCAGCTGCACACAAATTAAGCAAGGCTTTATGTGACTGTTCTAAAAAATAAATATGCACATACTTACCTGGCAGGGGGAGTACCATGATCACAAGGGTGGTTTTCCCAGGGCGAGGCTTATCCATTGCACTCCGGATGTGCTGACCCCTGTGATTTCCCCAAATGTGGGGAATGTGCATTATTTGTGGTAGTGAAGGACTGCATTCGCGCTCTCCCCTGCAGAAAATAATAATAATAAAATGAATTAAAATGTACAGCTTTGGGTCCAATCATGAAGATACTGCTGGAGATACCTACAACCCATGTTGGAGTAACCAGTCTCAAGTCCCAGTTCTACTTCCTACTCCATCTTCCTGCAAATGCACGTCTTGGGAGGCAGCAGGTGATGGCTCAGGTAGTTGGGTCCCTGCCCCCCACGTGGGAGGCCAGCCTTGTGTTCCTGGCTCCCATCTTCAGCCTGGCTCAGCCTCACTGCTGTAGGAGAATAAACCAGGGGAAGGAGGATCTCTCTCTTGTTTACTTGCTGGCTCACACCCACTGTTTGTCTTTCAAACAAAATAAATAAATACTCTTGGAGTTCAGATTCCATTCCAGACTATTTTTCTCCTCGTGCAAAATCCCTCAGGAGTTGTCTATACTTTCTATGTAGATACTTTTCTATGTAGTCTAATTTGAAATGTTGTAGGTCCAAGCAACCTCTTTTCTTAACAATGGTCATTTTTTTAAAAGTTTTTTTTTTGTTTGTTTTTAATAGAAAGTCAGATTTGCAGAGAGGAGGAGAGACAGATAAAGATCTTCCATCCAATGATTCATTCCCCAAACAGCGGCAATGGTTGGAGCTGTGCTGATCCAAAGCTAGGAGCCCAGGGCCTACTCTGGTTCTCCCAGGCAGGTGCAGTCCGAAAGCTTTGGGCAGTCCTCAACTGCTTTCCCAGGCCACAAGCTGGATGGGAAACGGGGCCTCTGGGATTAGAACCAGTACCCATATCGGATCCTGACACTTTCAGGACAAGGACTTTAGCCACTAGGCTATTGTGCTGGACCCAGAACTGGTCATTTTTTAAAACGATTCGTTTTACTGGGCTGACATGGTGGCATATCAGTCTTATTCTCTGCCTGTAGCACCAGCATCCCATATGACTACTGGGTCGTGTCCTGGCTGTTCCACTTCTGATCCAGCTATGGGGCCATGCTAACTAAAGTTGGAATTAATAATATGCAAGCACTGTGACTAGTGGTACTACAGCTGGTTTCATGACTGGCAATGGCTACTAAGGGACTAACAGCAGGCATGGATACCGTATGGATACATCTCACAGAGAGATGCTTCCCGCGCCCACAGGATGACACAAGACTCTTTCATGCTATGCAGAACAGCATGTAGTCGAAAAGTTGAAAATGTGTGTTTTATTTCTGGAATATTTTCATTTAATATTTTTGGACTACAGCTGACTGTTGGAAACTGAATCTACAGAAAGCAAAAGTGTAGCTAAAGGGGGGTGACTCTGTCCATTCCTCCTGCCTCTGTTCTCTATAAAAATCTAGAAACAATGACCGGCTCAAGAACAGCAAGCGTTCTTGTGTGTGTGTGTGTGTGTTTCTTTTTAACATTTATTTTTATTGGAAAGAAGATTAATAGAAGGAGAGACAGAGAGAAACATCTCCATCTGCTAGTTCAAATGGCTACAACAGCCAGAGCTGAGCCAATCTGAAGCCAGGAACCAGGAGCCTCTTCTGGGTCTCCCATGCAGGTGCAGGGCCCCAAGGCTTTGGGCCATCCTCTGCTGCTTTCCCAGATCACAAGCAGGAAGCTAGATCAGAAGTGGAGCAGCTAGGACATGAACTGGTGACGGAAGATCTTTCTCTCTGTCTCTCCTTCTCTCTGTACATCTGTCTTTCCAATAAAAATAAATCAAGGTAAAAAAAAGAGCTGGACGGGAAGTGAAGCAGTCAGGACTTGAATCAGCACCCACATGGGGTACAAACACAGATGGGGGTGTAACCTGATACGCCATAGCGCCAGCTCCTAGACCACAGTCCTGAACACTACTTCCCACTACAAGAAACTAAATCTAGAAATAGACAATTCCAGACTTGGGGCAACAAAAGTACAAACTAAAACAAAAATATGTTGTCAGAAAGGGAAGCAAGAAAACAAGTAGAAAGACCACTAGAATGTCAAAAGAACACAGAAACCAGATAAAAGAATTTCCCGGGCCCGGTACAATAGCATAGTGGTTAAAGTCATCACCTTGAATGTGCCGGGATCCCATATGGCTGCGGTTTTAATCCCGGCAGCCCTGCTTCCCATCCAGCTCCCTGCTTGTGGCCTGAGACAGCAGTTGAGGATGGCCTAACTCCTTGGGACCCTGCACCCGTGTGGGAGACCCAGAAGAGAAAGTTCCTGGCTCCTAGGTTTGGATGGGCTCAGCTCTGGCCGTTGCGGTCACTTGGGAAATGAATCACTGGACGGAAGATCTTCCTCTCGGTCTCTCCTCCTCTCTGTATATCCGCCTTTCCAATCAAAATAAATAAATCTTTAAAAAACAAATCAAAACAAAAAAAAAGAACTTCCCACTGCTCAAAGACAGGACAATTTGGGCTTTAACAGAAGTTAGGTGATTGCAATAGATGGGAATCACCCAGCATTCTGTAAATCCATAAGCTTATAATGATACTGAAAATGCAATGATAACTCACCTTGTCAGGATGATGGAAAACAAATCTATTATCTTGCACACTGATGATGCTGGGGGCAGGGGGAGGGGCGAGCCGTGAGCCTGTTCTTCACTAATTGAATCGCTGGTTAACAGACCATACATTAGGGGAAGCATCTCTTTGTGAATGAGTCCAACTAGCACATGATCAAGATAGGATTAGAATATCAGCCTGCTGCAATCTGGTGAACTAACATATGTAGGCAATCATGTTGTCACCAGCTGCCAGGACCACAGAAAGACAGCCACCCAGGCATTAACACGCCCTCTGGTTAATAAGCATCTGTGTCCTTGCCAAAGGGAACCAAGCCTGTGTCTCATCAAGTGTGCACCCCCAGGTGCCAATTTGCATGAGATGGCGAGGACAGAGGAACACGTTGGATGTGAGTTGCATGTGGAATGTTGAATATGCAGTTAGCCCAAAAGACTAGACTGGGAAGCTCTCCAGGTCAAACCTCCCAAGCTCTAGCAATAGACACCATGTAAGCAAGGGGATGAGGAGGAATACATAAATGGAAAGACTGAAACATGCTAGCAAGACTGTTTAAGAAAAGTCAGCATAACTATGACTTCTAAGGATGTCCATCTGGATTGTAGTGCTACCAAGAAATACAAAGCAGGAATTACTACTGCAATCAAAAATTCCATCCCTGTGCCCAGCACTAAAGAAAACAATGAGAACAAGGTTTGCGGGGGGTAAAGGAGAAGGTCGAATGCATCCACAGATGAGAGCGAAGCCAACTTCTGGGTCTCAGGGACTACTGTTCTGTTGGGCAGATGCGGATGCTTACGGAGGAGTGACAGAGGAGCTGCAGGTTGCTGGTGTCAGGTGCCACGGCTGTCACAAGATGGTTGACAATATAGTCCTCTTCTGCTTTATCCCAGAGGGCACTGAGGCCCACAGGGACTGAGATTAGATTATACCTGGTCAAGTTCCCTCACTCTGCAAAACAAGTGGAGATAAGCAGCAAGGCAAAGTGTGCTAGTTGGAAGCCAGCAGTACAGCCCTCAAGCACCAACTTCATTTCTTTTAAAGACTTAAGTTTATTAGAAAGGTATATCTATAGGGAGAGATCTTTCATCTACTAGTTTACTCCCCAAATGACAGCAACAGCTGGAGGCAAGCCAGTCCAAAGCCAGGAGCTTCTTCAGGGAGTTCAGGGACCCAAGATTTTGAGCCATCTTCTGCTGCCTTCCCAGCGCATTAGCAAGGAGTTGGGTGGGAAGTGGAGTAGCTAGGACTGGAACCAGTGCTCACATGGGCTGTCAGTGCTGCAGACAGAAACTCAGCCTACTATGCCATAGTGTTGGTCCCCTACATCTGCATTTTATTATGTAATGTTTAAAAATTTATTTATTTTTATTGGAAAGAGAGAGAGAAAAGATCTTCCATACACTGCTTAACTCACTAAGTGGCCACAATGGCTGCAACTGAGCTTATCTGAAGCCAGGAGCTTCCAGGTCCCCCATCCGGATGCAGGATCCCAAGGCTTTGGGGTCATCCTCCACCACATTCCCAGGCCACAAGCAGGGAGCTGTATGGGAAGTGGAGCAGCTGGTACGTGAACTAGTGCCCATATGGGATCCCAGCATGTGCACGATCAAGATTTAGCCACTGAGTCATTGTGCTGGGCCCTTTATTATGTAATTTTTAGAGAGGTTTTTTTTTAAAAAAATAAACTTTCATTGCATAGAAGCAAACTTTTTTTTAAAAAAAGATTTATTTTTATTTTTTTTTATTGGAAAGGCGGATATACAGAGAGGAGAGACAGAGAGGAAGATCTTCCGTCCGATGATTCACTCCCCCAAGTGAGCACAACGGCCGATGCTATGCCGATCCGAAGCCAGGAGCCTCTTCCAGGTCTCCCATGCGGGTGCAGGTTCCCAAAGCTTTGGGCCGTCCTCGACTGCTTTCCCAGGCCACAGGCAGGGAGCTGGAAGGGAAGCGGGGCTGCCGGGATTAGAACCGGCGCCCATATGGGATCCCGGGCGTGCAAGGCGAGGACCTTTAACCACTTGCGCCACCACGCCGGGCCCGAAGCAAACTTTTTTTAAAAAGATTTATTTTACTTTATTTTATTTTTTATTGCAAAGTCAGATACACAGAGAGGAGGAGAATCAGGAAGATCTTCCATCCAATGATTCACTCCCCAAGTGACTGCAACATCTGGTGCTGTGCCAATCGGAAGCCAGGAGCCAGGAACTTTCTCCAGGTCTCCCGCACAGGTCCAGGGTCCCAAGGCTTTGGGCCATGCTCGACTGCTTTCCCAACCACAAGCAGGGAGCTGGATGGGAAGTGGAGCTGCTGGGATTAGAACTGGCGCCCATATGGAATCCTGGCGCGTTTGAGGCAAGGACTTTAGCCCTAGGCCATGGCACTGGGCTCAGAGGCAAATTTTTTTTAAAAGGGTGAGATAGCAAATATTTTTGGTTTTATAGCATAAGAGGATCTTGCAAGTGTGTAGATACTCAAATAATTATTTAAATATTTCTCATGTAATTATTTAAATATTTCTAATGGACAGACATTGAGACCAGCAATAGTAAGACAGTGATGGGCCGCCCACATCCCATATCTGAGTGTCTGGGTTCAATTCCCATCTCGGCTTCTGACTCCACTAATGCACACACCATATCTGGTGCCTTTCACCCACTCTAGTCGTAGACCCAGACTGAGTTCCAGGGTAATGACTTGGCCTGGCCCAGTCCGGGCTGCTGTTGGCATTTGGGGAAAACGAACCAGCAAATATAAAATCTGTCTCTCTCTCCTCTGCAAAAATAATATCATATAGGGCCCGGCACTGCAGCCTAGTAGCTAAAGTCCTTGCCTTGCATTGTGCCAGGATCCCATATGGGCACTGGTTCGTATCCAGCTGCTCCACTTTCCTTCCAGCTAGAGGATGGCCCAAAGCCTTGGATCCTGCACCTGTCTAGGAGGCTTGGAAGAAACTATTGGCTCCTGGCTTTAGATTGGCTTAGCCTCCACCATTGCAGTCACTTGGGGAATGAATCAGCAGATGGGAGATCTTTGTTTCTCTTTCTCTCTGTAAATCTGACCTTCCAATAAGATAAGAAAATACATGTTTAAAAATAATAATGATAACATATAAAGAGAAAACTCAAAGATGTACTAATTCTCGAAATTCCTGTGAAGACGGCACTCAACCAGTCACCAACTGCCCCTCTGTCTCTAAGCAACACACAAGTGACGCAATCGCCATCCTCACTTCCCCAGAAAAGAGAGAAGGAGGGAGGGGAAAGGAGGGGAGTAAGCACGCATGCACGCTACAAGCTCCCAGCTCCACCCTGCCATTCTGGAGACTGGGACAGAAGTCTTGGCGCCCTAGCAGCAGCAACAGCCTCGCCCATGAGCCTACTTAGAAACGTAGAACTTCAGTCCCATCCCAGACCTACTACTGGCTGTCTGTGTGTTTAACGTGCACATTTTGCATTGCTTTTACAATCCAGATAAGGCAAGGTCATGAACAAATACCTCAAACCATGGACACCTCCAGTAGGTCGAACTTTCAACCTAAAACCTAAAAAACTTGTCTTGATGACTTATAAGAGGAAGTCCCCACAGCTGAATTCCCACTGTTCAAATCTGTGAGAAAATTCCCTCGTGTCTCTGACCGTCAGTCCTGGTCAGAATGCATCAGCTACCTTGGTTCCCGCTTGCAAGTCAGCAGGGAAATCGGAAAGGACCACTTCCCACCCCAGGGTCATCGCTGTTGCTTTTAAGCAAGGTGGGAAAACGTGTCTGCGACCTGACACCTTAGACCTGTCAAGATAAGCAGGGAGGACCCTGGGCAGCAAAATGCAATCCACCACTCACAGGAAATAGGCTCCACCCCTTCCCATAGACATATTTATTTAATTGACAGGCAGAGTGATGAGAGAGAGAGCATTTGCATCCATGGCAGTACTTCCCAAATTGCAGGCAACAGCCAGGGTGTGTCAGGCCAACACCTAGAGGGAGGAATTGCGCCTGGGTCTCCCTCATGGGTGGCAGGATCCAAGCACAGGAGCCTTCATCCACTGCTTCCTGGGTGTATCAGTGAGGAGTAAGATCGGGAGCTGGGAGTAGCCAGGACCCCAACTGGCATTCCCATACGGGCTACCCACGTGTCCGGCACCACCACTCTCACCGCACAGCTATATTTTAAGGCCCCCAGTGGAATTTCTACAAACGCTGAGGCAGTGAGTCCCTGATCCCGGGTGTGGTTCTCATCTCGGTCACTTCCCCGTCTGGTGAGTACCCTCGGTCTCTGTCCATCTCGGGAAGCTGCAGACCTGAAGTTCCACTTCCTCATCAGACAGCAGCGGTGACAAATCAGAGCAGACACATCCCACTCCCAGAAGAACCGTCCTCCTTTGCTGGGAACCACCACCCAGAAGTGACTCACCAGACACCACCGTGCAGGAAGAATAGAAAATGATTTTTTTTTTAAGGCAAGGGGTGGGTAGCACCTACTTCATGTAGAAAACAACTTTAAATTTTTTTTAAAATTCCATGATCCATACTACAACATGGGTGTATCTTGAAAGCATTACACCAAGAGAAAGAAACCAGTGACCAAGAGCCACCTGTCCGACAATGCCCCTGACCCACAATGTTCAGAATACGCAGATCACAGGCTAATCTTCCCACTGGGCACCAGCACCCAAAGGGGCACTGGTTTGTGTCCCAGCTACTTCACTTCTAATCCTGCTTATGTCCTGGGAAGACAGTAGAGGATGGGACAAGACCATGGGACCCTGCACCCATGTGGGAAACCCAAAAGAAACTCCTGGCTCCTAGCTTCAGATCAGCTTAGCTCCAGGCATTGCAGCCAATTGGGGAGTGAAGCAGTAGATGGAAGATCTTTCCCTGTCTCTCCTTCTCTTTTTAAATATGCCTTTCAAAAGAAGATTAATAGGGCCCAGCACGGTATCCTCGCGGCTAAAGTCCTAACCTTACAACATGCCTGGATCTCATATGGGCAACTGGTTCTAATCCCAGCAACCCCACTTCCCTTCCAGCTCCCTGCTTGTGGCCTGGGAAAGCAGTAGAGGACGTCCCAAAGTCTGGACCCTGCACCTGCATGGGAGACCAGGAAGAAGCTCCTGGCTCCTGGATTCAAATCAGCTCAGTTCCAGCTTGCGGTCACTTGGGGAGTGAACCAGTGGATAGAAGATCTTCTCTGTAAGTCTGCCTTTCCAATAAAAAATAATAATAATGATCTTTTTTAAAAACTAAAAATAAAAAATCTTTAAAAAATAATAAAAACACAGGTATATCAGGGGTTGCTTAGGACTGGGAGGGCTGGGGGGATGCAGAGGATCATGTCCACAGAACACAGACAGAAGGAACAAAAGTGTTTTAAAAGGCCTGTGGTGAAGAACACACCTGTGAGAATATACCAAGGCCACCGCATCGTCCACTTTACAGGGGAGTTACGCGGGATGTGAGAGTGCTTCACGGAGCTTTTCATGGCTTCACACCAGATCCCTGCTAGTCCACACTGCAGAGTTCCTACTGTCAAAAACTGTAAGCAAAATCTGAAAATAATAACAATAACTGTGACCTGAGCACTGAGGAAAGGCCCTGCTTGAACTCACCTGACGAAATGACTCCCATCGTAGTCTGGGGAAAGCCTCAGAGCCTTGTCTCAGGACCAGCCGACACCCAGAAATCCCTGGCTGCCTTTGGCCTCTTATTCCGGAATCGCTGGAAACAACCAAATCCAGCCAAGCACGCTCCCCCAAGTGACACCTTTCATCTCCACAGGCAAGGATTACAGCGTAGGCGAACGAACGCCCAGCCTCTGTCAGACCACAACGTCGAGAATTCACCATAGCCGTAGAAACTCGGAAACTGGCTTTCCGAAGACTCTGAAGAACAAGTTCCACAAAGCACCGTGGCTGGCCCAGGCCTTCTCTGTGAACACCCTGACCTAAATCCTGCTGTTCTGATTGGGCCTTCACTCCACCCAGACTCTTCTCTCCTCACGCAAGGGCAGAAGCCAGCCAGGACCCACCATGGCAGTGTTAGCATTGTGGCCCTTACTGTGCTGGTGAGAGGAAGACAAAAGGGGAGGCAGGGCAACGGGCCAAGCCCAGGACACTGCGAGTCTCAGAGAAATCTCAGCCGCCATAGCTTCGTCCATCTTGTCCTGAGACCCGGATTCTCCAAGCCCCAGGCACAAACACCGCATGGTATGGATGCCCCAATTACTGATGGAGCAGATGGTTCGTCTCCAACAAACTGCTGCCACCTTCAATGCCAAGAGCAAAGCGGACTAGCAGGTGTCTAGAACAGTGCCTGGTACACCATGGCAGCCGGTGGCTATGGACTGAATGCCCTTGAATGGATGCAGATCTTCCCTTGGCCTGCAAAGCGCTTATGGACACAGAGTTCAAGCTACACCTGTTCCTGGTAGCTCCATCTGCACCTTACAAAATCACTAAGTACAACAATTACGGCAAGAGTACAGCTTTCGAAGGGCAAGGTAATTTGTTCATTTTGCTACTAATGCGCCCGTTCCCTGGCACCTCCACATGAGCGACAGAGGACGCCCCTGAGGCCTCCTCTCGCCAGGGGCCGCTGTAGGACAAGTCCGGCGCCCTTTCCCACGGTACTCTTTGACCCTGTGAAGCCGCTTCCCGGAGCTAAGATGGCGGCGTCGGTGGCGGCCGCGGCCGTGCGGCTGCGGCCGGCCCTTGGAAGGTCGCTGTCAACCGCGCCCCCTCCAGCCCCGGCGTCGGCCGTGCGGGACGCCTTCCTGAGCTTCTTTCGGGACCGCCATGGCCACCGTCTGGTGCCCTCCGCTTCCGTGCGGCCCCGAGGCGACCCCAGCTTGCTTTTCGTGAACGCGGGCATGAACCAGGTGAGGGCGGAGCCGTACTGACGGGGAGCGTGGATTGGCGAGTCCCCCCCCCCCAGAGAAAGACCGTTGCGGGATTGGGCGGAAGAAGCAGGGGGCGGGGCTTATGGCGTGTGGGGAAACAGAACTGTGTGTGATTGGTAGAGCGATTGGGGGCGGAGTTCACAGTCCAGTTAGCCCTTAGGAAGGGCTGGACCTGGGTTGAACCAAACTTGGGGTGAATTCTAGGTCCCATGGGGCAGACCGGTGGGGAGGTCTTCATTAAGATAATCATCCATTGGATGAATGTTGGTTGTGCACCTGTTCAACCTTGAGCCCCTCCAGACTTAGTTGCTCCGTCTGTGAAGAGGGCAGACATGCAGAAAAGTGATTTTAGAGAGTGTCCCTACTAATGCTGACATTCTGGACCAGGCCGGTACTCTGTGGTCCCATCTTTTTTGAAGATTTATTTATTTTTATTGCAAAGTCAGATATATAGAAAGGAGGAGAGACAGAGAGGAAGATCTTCCATCCATCCAATGATTCACTTCCCCGGGCGGCCACAATGCCTGGAGCTGAGCCTATCCAAAGTCAAGAGCCTGGAGCTTCTTCCTGGTCTTCCACACTGGCACAGGGTCCCAAGGCTTTGGGCAAGTCTCGACTGCTTTCCCAGGCCACAAGCAGGGAGCTGGATGGGAAAACGGGGTCGCCGGGATTAGAACCAGCACCCATATGGGATCCTGGCGCCTTCAAGGCGAGGACTTTAGCTACTAGGCCATTGCACCAGACCCTGTGGTCCCATTTTTGTACCCTGGAGTTGCTGGACGTGCTTGAAGCAGCCGACCTAAAGGATCTCCTGCTTGCAACCAGGTCATGTGTGCCCTTGTGCCTCACCTGTTTCACTAGCAGTGCGTCTCAGACACACATGGACATGTGCCCCAGTTTGCCCCTGTGGTCACCACACTGTGAGACACAGGCCGCCTCACATCTAAACAGCCATCCCAGTCCCAACATCCTCTCTCCATGCCCCCTCCATCCATTCTTGGAGACCCTGAAGTACTCCCCAACCTTTTCTCGTACTCCCAGTTCAAGCCAATCTTCCTGGGCACCATGGATCCCCGAAGCGAGATGGCAAGCTTCCGACGTGTGGCCAACAGTCAGAAGTGTGTGAGGGCCGGAGGCCGCCACAGCGACCTGGAGGATGTGGGCCGAGACCTGTCCCATCATACCTTCTTTGAGATGCTCGGCAATTGGGCCTTTGGCGGGGAATATTTTAAGGTGAGTCTCTGGGGTCAGCCCAAATTGGGCAGGAGCGTCGCTGTGGGTCCTGTCCATGTTCTCCCTGGCTGCTCAGTCAGGATCTCATAGCAGATACGCAGGTGAGGTGCTTGGTGAGCATGTATAATAGGAATGAGTTTGTCCTCGCTAATTGGATTGTATGTCCCTGGAGGACAGTGATGGTGTGTGCTGCCTACTGGCTGGTTCCTGAGGAATGCTAAAATGCAATGGCACCCCCAAGCTAGGGGACTGCAAGAGGATCTCATGGGGAGAAGTGGGTATTTATTTCAGAACTGGAGAGAAACTCAGAGTTAGAAGAGGGGGAGAAGCTTTCTGAACAGGAAAAAACCCAGTAATGACAACGGTCAGGCTTGTGCTGGGGAGTAGGTGAGCCATGAGGACGCTGTTTGTCTTCAGCTGAAGCCTGTACTCAGATGGTTGGGGTGACCTTTCCCCATTCCCCCACTCCACTGCCACAGGAGGAGGCATGCAGCATGGCCTGGGAACTGCTGACTCAGATCTATGGGATCCCAGAAAACAGGCTCTGGGTCTCCTACTTTGGTGGTGACCCCGAGGCAGGGCTGGAGCCGGACCTGGAGAGCAGAGACATATGGCTCAGCTTAGGGTAAGTCAGTCCCCTTCCAATGGCCACTCCTAGCTGGGGGCAAGAGGATGCAGAGTTGGAGGGGAGGGGCTCTCTGCTTCTCCCACTACACACCTGCCTGCCTCCCCAGGGTGCCCGCCAGCCGCGTGCTCTCCTTCGGGCCACAGGAGAACTTCTGGGAGATGGGGGACACTGGCCCCTGTGGACCCTGCACAGAGATCCACTATGACCTGGCAGCTGGGGTGGGAGCCCCCCAGTTGGTGGAGCTTTGGAACCTCGTCTTCATGCAGCATAACAGGTGACGGGCCGCCCTTATGGGAGGAAGAGGGTGGGAGAGAGGAAGATTTGGACCCGTGGCTCGATTCAGTTCAGTCATGCTAGTTGTGCACCAGGCACCCAGTCAGTGTCCGAGCACTTCTCAGACAGTAACTGGTATAGGCCTAGGCTTTGCCCAGGATGGTCTTCCACTAGCCATCGTGGCCCTCCGGCCTCTGGCCATTCTGATGCTATGCGGCTTCATGATCTCACAGGTTTCCTCCATAGCCTTCACATGTTTCTTCTTGAGGGCAAAGACTTCTGTCCCAAGAGGGGATGTTTGTAGCCAGAAGCTGGCAGGTGTTGGTTGAAGAAGCTGAGATGGAAGATGAGGTCCAAATGTGGACATAGCAAAGTTGGGAGGGCCCTGGGTGCCTGTCTCCTCTGTCCCCCATCTGTTCTCCACTTGGGCACCTGCGGAGGTGGGAAGGGCCTTACCTTGTTTCCCCTCCCTGGCAGAGAGGCTAACGGCAGCCTGCAGCCCCTGCCCCAGCGGCACGTGGACACAGGAATGGGCCTGGAGAGGCTGGTGGCTGTGCTACAGGGCCGGCACTCCACCTACGACACCGACCTCTTTTCTCCACTGCTCAGTGCCATTCACCAGGTGAGCTGGCCTCTTCCCTCCCCGGAGCTCACCTCCAGCGCCCAGCCCTCCCTGCTTCCCATCTCAGTTGCATTCCTGGAATATGGGAGTGGTGACCAACCACAGAGCCCAAGGCATGCAACACAAGGCCAGCCTCTGTCACTCTGCTTCCTGAACCCCCTCCCTCGTTCGCAGAATAGAGGTTGGGTGCCTGCTTTATGTTAAAGCCTTTGTAGCTGGAATGGAAAGCACAGCATTAGAGAGGAAAAAGATTGAGCGCTCAGTGTGTGAGAGAAGCTGAATGAGGCACACCATAGCTTACAGACTGGGAGCAGGAAGTAAATGTGAGTAATGGTAACTGGGAGGCAGAGGATACAGAGAGATCTTAGGGTTTTGGGGATTCCCTACGGAGGAATCCACCCTGAGAAACTCACTCCAGGCAGAGGGGACAGCAGCTGCCAAAAAACCCTGAGGCAGGAAAGGGTTTGATGTGCCAGGCAGCTAAAGTAGAATATAGTTGGAACGGGTATCAGTTGGCTTGTGCTGACTAATAACCTGTGGTTTTAGCTTATGGGTCTGTGGTCTGACAGTGTGGGCTTGGCTTAGCCAGGTTATTCTTCCAGTCATCTGTGACTCATGCATGAACCTGTGGTTGTGCAGGTTGGCTGGCTGTCAGTTTGGGGCAGTAGATGGTGATGATATTTGCCGTTGTCCAGCCACCTGACCAGCTCTGGCTTGTTCATGTCACGGCTGGCTGGGTTCCAAGAGCCAGAGCTGCAGAAGCGTGGGCTCCAAGCAGAGCCTTCTCCACCAGTTTTTCCGTTCAGGTAGGAGCATCACACATCCCAGAAGTACTGTCAGGAATCGGAAGTGGCACTATTCAAGTACCCACGTGTTGCTGTAGGAATTCAGTGACTGCAGCAATGATGGTGGCAGACAGTGTGGGACAGAAGCCCCACCAGGACAGGGGACTGCCTCCACTCTCCTGAGCGGCTTCCCCAGCCTGGCAGAGACATTGTGGAGGAGGTCAGCTTTGGAACAGAGGCAGAGACGAGCATACCCCAGGCCTGGTCAGGTAGGGCTGGCAGCCACTCCTCCTCTTACTCTTCCTCTCCTGCTTTCCAGGGCTGCGGGGCACCCCCTTACCTAGGCCGGGTAGGGGAGGCAGATGAGGGCCACACCGACACAGCCTACCGCGTGGTGGCTGACCACATCCGCACGCTCAGCGTCTGCATTGCTGATGGCATCTTTCCTGGGATGTCAGGTGCCCCGTGAGTCTGGAGGGCATGTGGGGATGGCAGGAGGGGGCCTGCAGATGGGAGCATCCGCTGTGGACCGTGTGTCCATCTCCCCCGTGCCCATCCCCCAGCTTCATATCTGGGCTCTGAATCTCCCCAGGCTGATTCTTCGCCGGATCCTCCGCCGAGCTGTGCGGTTTTCCACGGAGATCTTAAGGGCACCCCCCGGCTTCCTAGGCAGTTTGGTGCCCGTAGTGGTGGAAACACTGGTAAGGGTGCCTGCAGGGCTTGCTGCAAGTACATTCAGTGCCACAGCTCAGATTTTGAGAGCTCCTCTTCCTCTCCCGACCCCCAACCCTGCCCTGAGCAGCTGTACCTGCTGCTAGGAAGTGGGGGCATCTTTGGGAGCCCCTGGACTCAGGCTGCCGATCACTGACCTTAGGACCCTCTTCCTACCAAAACTGTGCCTAAGTAAGGCCTCAGCATGTTGGCATCCTCTGCAGAAGCCCTGGGGGAGTGGTGGGGTGGGAGAGAGGGAGGACAGGCTGGCTACCTTGGGGCCTCTCAGCTCTCTCCCCTCTCCAGGGAGACGCTTACCCTGAACTCCGGAAGAACTCAGCCCAGGTACTGGATTGGAAGTAATGGGGGAGCTGGGGAAAAAGGCTCAGCCCCTCCCTCCCCCATCGTGAGAACATCCCTTCTCCCGCCTGCCCTGTGCAGATAGCTGAGCTGGTGTCGGAGGGAGAGGCGGCCTTCCTGGCCTCCCTGCAGCGGGGCCGCCGGGTCATCGAGCAGACCCTGAGACGCCTGGGGCCTTCAGACACCTTCCCTGGTGAGTTGGTGCAGAAGGGGGCTGGAAGCCAACCTCTGTGCACCCCCCATCCCTGCTCTCCTACCCCTCTCCCCCTGCACTCACCCCAACACCCAGAACAGCCACCTTCCACGCTGCCCACCTCACCTCTGCATTCCAAGGTGTTTTCCTTGCTTAGCCCAAGCTTCCCCGCTATGAAGTACTCTGTGCCCAGGGATACCCTGAGCTACCCCTGATGCTGGCCCTTGAGCAAGGAGCCAAAAAGTGACCTTTCACCTGGGACAGCCCACTATGGGGAGCAAACTTGTATCCATGGCCCCTGGTGGGGCCCTTATGTGGTTAGGAAACCCTGGGCCCTCCCTTCTCTAGAACCCTGTCTCTGCCTTCCTTCTCCCTTCCCCATTACCCTTTGTCCTCCTTGCTTGCAGCTGAAGTGGCCTGGTCCTTGTCACTGGCTGGAAACCTGGGGCTCCCCTTGGATCTGCTGGAGCTGATGCTGCAAGAGAAGGGGGTGCAGCTGGACACTGCTGGGCTACAGCGGCTGGCAGAGGAAGAGGCCCGGGTACAGGCTAGGCCCATGTTCGGGGTTCTCTCTCGGGACTCCCAGCCCTGAGCTCTCTGGGAGGGTCTTGGGAGGGGGGCACCATGACTGCTGGCAGGAATCCCAAAGCTGATCCACAGTCTGTCCTCTTATATCCGGAGGGGGTGATAAGACAAGCTTTCCAAAACCCTAAGCCCTGCCTGTAGACTGTAGGGAGGAACATTCCTCAGCAGCTGGCTCACCGGAAGCAGAAGGGGAGAAGCCTGCCATGTCCAGGGGAGGGCCCTACCGATGGGTGGTTCACCCACCATGTCCCGAGGTCTTGCTCCACCCAGGACTCCAGAGTCCCTATAAGCAGGGCTCCGCAAGGCTCATGGCCCGTGTCGCCTTTGCCTTGCATGCCTGTCCTGCAGCACCGGGCACAGCAGGCTGAACCAGTTCCAGACCAGGGCCTGCGGCTTGACATCCATGCCCTGGGGGAGCTACAGCGCCGAGGACTGCCTCCCACTGATGACAGCCCCAAATACAACTACTCCCTCCAACCCAGCGGTGACTATGGTAAGAGCCCAGAGCGAGGTGGGCAACCACTGGCTCACTTGGCCATGAACAGCAAAGATATCAGAGGAAGGGCACCCCCTCCACATTCCCCCAGGGTTGCTACAGCCCCCAGCCAGGTGCCTGCCGGCCTCTGCCGAGGCTCAGACCTGTGTGCCTGACCCCACCTAGCCCTGATCAGCATCCCATACACCGGCAGAGTTTGGCACCTGCGAGGCGCAGGTTCTTCAGCTCTATGCAGAAGATGGGACAGCAGTGGCCTCCGTTGGGGAAGGCCAGCGCTGCGGCCTCCTGTTGGACAGAACCAACTTCTATGCTGAACAGGGCGGGCAGGCCTCAGACCGTGGCTTCCTGGTACAGGTGGGGCGACAGGTATGTGCTTCCCACCCCCCTCTGCCCCTCCATAGGAAGCCGACCTGGACCTGGATGGGCCACCCCAGCTATTGGTCCTTATGTTCCCAGGATGTGCTGTTCCCAGTGGCCCGGGCTCAGGTCTGCGGCGGCTTCATCCTGCATGAGGTGATGGCTCCCCAGTGCCTGAAGGTTGGGGACCAGGTGCAGCTACACGTGGATAAGGTAAGCAAGCCTCACCCCACTCTTGTTGCTACCCTGCAGCTCTTGCCCTCCCCCTAATCCCCACCCCAGCCCTTGCCCCGGGTCCTTGGTGACCAGAACATTTCAGGCCTGGCGTCTGGGCTGCATGGAGAAGCACACGGCCACCCACCTGCTGAGCTGGGCACTGCGGCAGACCCTGGGCCCCGGCACAGAGCAGCGGGGCTCCCATCTCAACCCCGAGCGACTGCGCTTTGACGTGGCCACCCAGGTGAGCCAAGCCCAGAAGGAGACTGGAACCTTGGGCAGGGCCCTTTCCCGTCAGTCCGCTCCGACATCTACAAGGGGTTAGGCAAGGAAGCCAACTCCCAGGGGCCCTCCTGTCCCTTCCAGCCGCCACCTTCCTTCCCTGTCTCTGCTGCTCCATGCTCCATTCTTGGCTCTAACCAGGCTGCCATCTCCCTCTGCTGCAAAAAGAACTGCCTATTTCCCCAGTGCTCACAGAGCACCTGTTAGGTACCAGACGCTGAACTGGAGCCCCAGGGGAGTCCAACAGACAGCGACAGCTCTGAGGCTCATGTCAGGCAATCCAAAGCTGACAACCGACCAGTTGGTCTGATGGTTTTCCCTGACCTGCCCCCACCACCACCACCACCAGGCCCCACTGACTACAGAGCAGCTCCGGGCGGTGGAGGCCACTGTACAGGAGGCCGTGGAGCGGAATGAGTCCGTGCACATGGAACAGGTGGCCTTGGCACGCACTGCCTGTGTCCCTGGCCTGCGCTCCCTGGATGAGGTAAGCTGGGGGCCATTTGGCTGCAGGTGGTCTACTTGCTTCAGACACACCCAGGAGACCTCCTTTTGCTCCTCCTCCTCTCCCTTCCTCTACCCTCTTCCCCTGGCTCTCAGGTCTGTCTCCTGTTCCCCACAGGTATACCCAGATCCTGTGCGGGTTGTGTCCGTGGGGGTACCCGTGGCGCAGGCACTGGCACCGGCCTCCCAGGTGGCCCTGCAAACCTCCGTGGAGCTGTGCTGTGGCACGTGAGTCCCCATGTGCATGCTCTGGCCCCAGGGGCCTTGCAGCCTCACTCCACCTCCATCACACCCTACCCTGACCCTGGGTGGGGCACAGCCTTTTCCCTTCTCCCATGTTATCATCCTTGACTCTCTCCTCCCGCCCATAGACACCTGCTGCGTACAGGGGCCGTGGGGGATCTGGTCATTGTCGGAGAGCGCCAGCTCACCAAGGGCACCACCCGCCTGCTGGCTGTCACCGGGGAGCAGGCCCAGCAGGTCAGCATGGCATGGCAGCAGGCCCAGGCAGGGTTGGGAGAGGTGCTACCAGGGTTCACGTATGCTCACTGTTGTGACCCTAGCACTGCGGCAGCCAGCACCCGTCCTGGTCCCTTGGTACTGAGGCCTCAGCTGGTGTTAAGGATTTCTGATTTTGCCCCTCCCCACTGTATGTGGACAGGCCCCATCCTGGGGAGGTGAGCAGCGAGCATAATCCCGACCATGCTCTTCCCCTTCCCCACGGCAGGCCCGAGAAGTAGGCCAGAGCCTGGCCCAGGAGGTGGAAGCAGCCACGGAACGGTTGAGTCGGGGCAGCCGGGGCATTGCAGAGGCACAGCGGCTATCCAAGGACATAGGACGGCTCACTGACGTGAGGGCCACCCCCACCATCCCCTGTCTCCATTCCCTCCCTGAGCCCATGTCTCCCTGGACCTTTTTGGTTATCTCTGTGGCACTTGTGTGCTGGGTTGGACTCTGGTGGGCTGTCCGGGTGGGTGATGGCTCCCCGGCCCCCAATCCCGCCCTGCCTTAAAGGCTATGGCCCCCTCTGGGAGCAGGCGTGGTCAACCTCCCATTTCTGGCCATAGGCTGTGGACACCGCCATGATGCCTCAGTGGCAGAGGCGACAGCTCCAGGCCACACTGAAGGGGCTGCAGCGGCGCGCCAATACCGCCATCCGTAAGCTAGAGAAGGGCCAGGTAAGTAAGCTGTGGCCACAGCAGCATCTGAGATGCCTAACAAGCTTCAAGGGCTGGCTGCCAGTCAGGGCAAGCTGCTGCCACCACCAGGTTCTTCCCTACCTCCTCCTCCACCTCTGCCCCAGGCAGACATCTCCTCCAGGCTCTTTCCCCACTTCCCCTCCTGCCCAACTACTTCTCTCCCCCAGCTCCCAAGTCTGGCCCAGACTAAACCTCTAGGAAGCCACCTAGCTTGACAGCCTTAATTGTTCCTTGTCTGTCCGCTTCTCCTCTTCTCCTCCCCTACTCCTTTCCTCCCCTCCACTCCTCCCCTCCTCCCCTGCATCCATCTCTGCTCTGGCCTTTCTGCTGTCATCTTCAGCAACCCGTTTGAGGCTGAAGCTGTGATGACAGGGCAGAGGCAGGACCCTGCAGAGGCTGGCCAGCCTGGGCCAAGGGTCTGCACCTCTCCTTGGAGCCCTCCACCTTCACGACTGGGCTGGAGCCAATGGTAAGTGTGCCTCTCCAGAGGCCTGACCCCACTTCTGTCCATCCCGCCCTCCATAGGCTGCAAAGAAAACCCAGGAGCTGCTCGAACGGCACCCAGGGGCACCCCTGATTGTGGACACGGTCTCTGCTGAGTCCCTCTCTGTAAGTGCAACCAGAGGGACCACCTGAGCCATGGGGGTATGGGTGGGCAGTGGCTAGTAGCCTGGGGAGCTGTGGGGTCACCAGCCGTCCTCCCTCACACAGATGCTGGTGAAGGTGGTACGGCAGCTGTGTGAGCAGGCCCCCAGTACATCCGTGCTCCTGCTCAGCCCCCAGCCCGTGGGCAATGTGCTTTGCGCCTGTCAGGTGGCCCAGGTGAGAGCAGCTGTCACCCCCACCTGGAGTCCAGGCTAGTTCCGACCCTATGAGCAAAGTCCAGGTGAAGGTGACATGCAAGAAACCCCTGGATGAGAGCAGGGCACTTCCTTTTCTCCCTAGATAGACTGGGACATAGCAGTTCCACATGCTCCCAGGCCTCACATCCCTGCACCTGCACCTGTGCACCCAGCCCAACTCTCCGCTCACCTCCTCAGCAGCTCCTCCACGCCACTCCCTCTGGCTGGGGAGACTGTTCTACAGCACTTCCCCTTCTGTTCTGCTCACAGGGTGCCACGCCTGCCTTCACAGCAGAGGCCTGGGCGCTGGCCGTGTGCAGCCACATGGGTGGCAAGGCCTGGGGCTCACGAGTGGTGGCCCAGGGCACAGGAAGCACAGCTAACCTGGAAGCTGCTCTCAACACAGCCCGAGCCTACGCTCTCAACCAGCTCTGAGGCCTGGGAGGCCCTCCCAGTGACCCACATGGATTTTAGGCAAGAGCCAGCGGAACCTCCCCCAGAGGCAATGCACTGCCGTGATGCCTCAGTGGCAGAGGCGACAGCTCCAGGCCACACTGAAGGGGCTGCAGCAGCGCACCAATATCGCCATCCGTAAGCTGGACACCACAGGTCAAGTGGCTGAGCCAAAGTCTTCCAGCACCGGGCCCTACAGCACATAGAGACAGAGGTATCGGGGGATACAAGTAACACATCTGGGAACATGAAGATATGAGCCATGTCAGCTGCAAGTCTGTTTGTGGGGCATCGCAAGTAAAATGTGGTGCTGGCATCCCACATGGGCACCAGTTCAAGTCCCAGCTGCTCCACATCTGATCCTGCTTCTTGCTAATGTGCTTGGGAAGGTAACTAAGTATGGTCCCTGTACCCACGTGGGAGACCCAGAAGACGCTCCTGGCTTCGGTTCGGCCCAGCTCCAGCCATTGCAGTCATTTAGAAAATGAGCCAGGAGATCACTGTATCTCCCTCTTTCTTTGTCTGACTTTGAAATAAATAAATATCTTTAGAAAAAGAAAAATCTTTGACATTGGGGCTGCTGTTGTGGCACAGCAAATTAAGCTGTCACCTGCAACACTGGAACATCCCATATCAGAACACTGGTTTGAGTCCCAGCTATTCCACTCGTCGTCCAGCTCCCTGCTCAGATGCCTGGGAAGGCAGCAGGAGATGACCCCAGCACTTGGGCCTCTGCCACACATGTGGCAGACCCGGATGGAATTCCTGGTTCCTGGCCTTGACCCGGACCAGCGCCAGCTGTTATAAGCCATGTGGGAAGTGAACAAGCAGATGGAAGACTCTCTCTCTGTAACTCTACCTTTCAAATAAATCTTTAAAAACAAAAGTTATATTTACCCTCATTGGACATTGCACAATATATACAATTTCAACACATTACCTGGTACTCCATAAATTTCTGCAGTTTTTATGTACCTATTAAAAACAGTGCAAGAAGTGCCTCAGAAGACAGGTGATCCCTTTTACTCGGAAGAGAGCAGACTTCCTGCTCCCAGGAACCTGGAATAGATGCCCCATCACTCATCATTTTACATGTCAGCGGTATCTGTGGGCATGCTCAGTACAGGATGCAGCCTGGGCACACCTGGCACCAGCAGAGGGCTCCCTGTGCACCAAGACCCAGAGCTGTCACCCGGTGGTCAGGATGGCCGGGCAAGCCTCTGTGGTCACTCCACAGCAGTAACTTATTGTCTTCGAGAACACCTGTTGATTTTGTGGATCATTAGGGTCACAGGTGTTGGACAGCTGCTGCAGGTGTGGCAGACGCCGAGCAAACCACAGTTCCTGCCTGCGTGGCATTCCATCCCAGTGGGGAGCAGGCCAAGAGAAGGTGTGTCCAACAGCAGGGAGGAGTTCCATGGAGGAAAAGCAAGAACAGGGAGCCCAAGGGGGCAGGTGGTGCCTCCCCGAGGTGTGGCATCTGAGCACAGAGTTGGGAGGTGAGGAGGTGAGCCAGTGCAAAGGCCTGGAGGTGTGGCAAGGAAGCCTGTGGCTCTGAGCTAGGAGCTGGTTTAGCAGCAGGTGGTAGGGTTAGAGAGCAGGATTGGACCAACCAAGATTTATTTGAGGTAATAGAAAGGCACAGAGAGATCTTCCATCGGCTGGTTCACTCCCCAAATGGCTGCAACGATCAGTGTTCACTGTCCAGCAATGAGGGACTTGGTGCACAGAGCCAACGATCGTACACACAGACTGCTCGCTGATAGTCAATAGCTAAAGTTTAATAACAGCAAAAGACTTTTAAAAACTGAAGATCAGTAGGCATAAGGAAGGAAGGTCCAGAACAGGGTGTGGCTTCCATGCTAGCAAGCGGGGGGGGGGGGGGGGGGGTCAATCAGTTCTAATAATTAAACAATGAGTTCTAATAATTAAACAGCGTGCACTAGAAGAGGCACTGCTGTTTGGTCTGTTATCAACACTTGAGGATCAGGGAGTTCCTGCATCCATGCTTTTCTGTTCCAATTGCTTCAGGACCTTTGCCCCGAGTCCTCTTGGCTTTCTCAGGATTACAGTTGGTTATGGTTTCACACCAGCAAGGTTTCCCATTGTCCTCCTACGAATTCCCGTCTTCCTATAACCAGGGCTGGGCCAGGCCAGCGCCAGAAGCATCTTCTAGGTGTCCCATGAGGGTTCAAGAGATCTAAACACTTGGGTCATCTTCCACTGCTTTTCTCAGGCACATTGTCCCACTGCCTTCCCAGGCACATTAGCAGGGACCTGGGTGGAAGCTGAACCTCTGGGACAGGAACCAATGGCCAAATGAGGAGCTGACAATGCAGGCGGTGGCTCTACTTGCTATGCCACAATACCAGTCCGCAGCCATAAGCTTTTTAAACAAGTTGCACAGGGGCCAGCATTGTGGTGCCACGAGGTAAGCTACTGGCTGCAATGCCATACTGGAGCAATGGTTCAAGTCTGGGCTGCTTGACTTAGATCCAGCTCCCTACTAATCCACCTGGCAAGGCAGTGAACAATGATTCAAGGGTTCAAGCCTCTACCTTTCACAGGGGAGACCTCAGGTGGAACTGCTGTTTCCTGGCTTCAGCCTGACCCAGCCCTAGCCGTTGCAGCCACTGAACCAGCAAATGGAGGATCTCTCTTCTTCCCTCTCTAGTTCTCTGTCTTTCAAATAAATAAATCTTAATAATAATAATTTTTTAAAAAGTCCCCAGGTTCCATGAGCTTGGTAAATGAGATGGTAAATGAGAGCGGAGTGGGCCCCCGTCATCCTTTCCTGTACCTGTTTTTGTCCTGATGGCTTGTGAGCAAATCACTGATTCTAGCACTGTTGGCAAAGCTTTGCTGCAGGATCATGAAACCAAGCAGTGACCACACTGCATAGTGCCCAACACAGGCCCAGCTCCTGCATGCTCCCTCTCCACCCCAGCCAGGCATTGTGGTCTCTGTGTTGCATGGTAAACTGGGGTAGTGGGCAGGCCCAGCTCAAAACTACACTGCCTTCCTGCTGCCTCTTCTTCCTATAGAAGTTGCTGTTTCACCAGCCAACATCCCCCCACAAAAAAGTCACTCCTGCCCCCAGAGGCGGCAGGGGAACAGGGCACCAGCCATATCCTGTCATACCAGGGCTGGGGGCATGGCCTCCTCCTAGGAAGCGGAGGGCGATTCCTGGCATTTAAAGAGAGGTGGGCCTGCAAGTTGGGCCTGCAGGTCTCCCATGAGTGCCCTAGACGAGTCCTTCCACTGTCACCTCCACCCCGCACAGCTAATTCCACCCAAGGAGACCTCGGCTGACCCTGCCTCGGCCTTCCACCTCTTCTCATCAAACCCCTAAAGCCCACCCATTCCTAAGTACACCCACCACAAGCCCTGAGCAAACCCAAGGACGCACCGTTTCCTCCCTACTCTGAGGCCCCTCGCTGCCCTTCGCACGCGAACCTCCAGAGGTCGGCAAGTCCCTCGCGGGACGGCCCCGCCCCCTGGCGACACAGGCGTCCCTAACGACGGCTCCCGGAGCTGCAGAAGCCGGCTGCCCACAACCCACCCGGAGTTTCCCCCTCGACCCTCGCCCACATTGGCCATCGCTGCTGTGGCTCCGCGTGGCTGAAGGGCCGGTCTGTATCCACCAGAGCTATCCCCCCATCTTGTCTCGTACCTCCCGCGCGCCCCTCTCCTCAACACACAGCTCCTCATCCCACCCACTGCCTGGGTCCTGGGAAGGAGGAGAGGGGTTGGCGACGAGCAGTCCTGACGTCCAGTCTCCCATCCAGGGCTGCCATTCCTGGCTGCCTTGTTCCCTTGGCTACCAAGGAGCTGACGGGACCTCTTCACCCTGGGGTAGGATGGGAGAAGGGCCCCCGCTGACCTTTGGAGATGAGCGCCTCCTGCTGAGGCTTCAGAGCTGAAGGTAGGGGGTGGGAAGGGGAAGAGCGAACCCGAGTGTTATTTTGAAACAACAGACCTGAGTGGAAAATTGAGGCACAGGTGCAACCTCACTGGGCCATAGACCAACGTGCTGGACAGGTAGGTGCCTGAGGTGGACTGTCTGCCAAGGATACCAGGGGATGGATGGGAGAGCTGGCTAAAAAAGCAGGGAAAGCAAGGTGCCAGATGGGTGTATGGGTCGTCAAAGCTGGTACCGTTCAGAGGGAAGGGACCATAGGCACAGAGGCACTTTCCCGCCGAGACAGAAGGCCGGGCCCCTCTTCAGCTGCCCAGTCAACAGGCGGGAGGGTGGGAGAGCCGCTTGGCAAAAGCTGGGACTAGCAGCAAGGGGGAGAGGCTACCCCAACATCTGGCCAGGAGGGAAGAGCCTCAGCCCACAGGATTAGGCTCAGCTGGGGACTTGAGGATGACTGGAGCAGGTGTGAGAGCTCGTGTGTGAGGAGGGGATGTGATTCCAGTGACTGTGGAGAGCATGGAGGGCCCAGGGCTGCCGCCTCGGGCACATGGGTCAGGGCCTGCTGTGCCCAGCAGCAAGAAACATAAGGGACAGACGCTGTTTAAGTCAGCACTGCAGGAAATAGCCCAGGGTGGCTCCACACTGGGAGCAAATGCTCAGGAGCCCCGAACTCCACTGTGCATGTCCTCACTCCACTGCGCATGTCCTCACTCCACTGCGCATGTCCTCACTCCACTGCGCATGTCCTCACTCCACTGCGCATGTCCTCACTCCTGCTTCCCGCCTGCAGGGCTAAGGTGCCCTTAGCTGGGGACACTAGAGCAGGGCACGACAGGCACTCACTCCCCGTGTCCCCCACCCACCTCTCTGGTGGCAGGAAGGAATCCTGCCCCAGGTCCCTCTGGGACCACCCTCCGTGGGGGCCTTGAGGAGCTGTCTGGGTGCCCTGCTGCTCCCAGCTCATCCCTGCAGGCTCTCAGGGAACATAATGCCACCTTTCACCATTATCAACATTGTCAGCTATAGCCAATGAAGGCACAGGCAGTTTAAGGCCTACCTGGAGGGGGGAAGGAGTCATCCATGTGCTGTGTGCAGCCTTCACTGTGATCAGGCCATCACTTCCTGTTCCTGGTCTCCAGTTTCCACACCGAATTGGATAAGGAGGTGGGTGAATAAGGTGGGGAGCCTGCCCTGCCTCCCTGTGGGGTGCTGAGGGAGGAAATGGTTCTGTACATACCACCCACCCTTGGCCCTTCCCAGCTGTGCCCTTGAACTCTTTCATCTGCTCATTTCCAATATCTCCCATTATTTCATCCATTGAGCTGTGTGTGAGCTGTCCAAAAGGCTGCCTGCCCCATGAGATCTGGGAGCTGAAGTCACTGCCGAGGAGCAGGGCAGTTCTGCGGGGTTTCAGGGCCTGGGATGAGAGCCTGGAGATCCCCGGCTGCTGTCTCTGAGTGACTGTCACAGCTTCCTGCTCATAGCCAGGCTTTCTTCCCTTCTGCTGATGGGGCTCCAGCAGCAGACCACACACCTCCTTCAAGGAGACGGTCTCTGCCTGCCAGCATGGGAACAAACCCCAAGGAGGAACCTGATTGGCTCAGGAGCCCACTGCCACACCCCTCACTCTGACCACAG